GAAAAAACTACTTCACAGTTAGGGTGGCTAGGAGCTGGAACCAACTTCCAAGGGAGGTGGTGCTGGCCCCTACCCTGGGGATCTTTAAGAAGAGGCTGGATACTTACCTGGCTGGACTCATTTGAGTCCCGTTTTTGTTTTTAGGGTGAGTGGTTTTGTTTGTGTTTTTGGGTTGTTCTCCCGCCCTGGCGGGGGGTCGGGCTAGAAGATCTATTAGGTCCCTTCCGACCCTGAAACTATGAAACTATGAAACTATGATGCTGGAGATAATTCTGCTGACTATCTTAAACCAATGATGATCAATACCACCGAGGATAGATCGCTTGAGATGCATCCCATTCATATACTCTCCTTCTGAAGAATCTATGGCTTGTCACCATCACTGACAGGTTACTGGGTTAGATGGACCATTGGTCTGACATATGGTACTTCTGTTCTTATGATGCTTTCCACGAGTGAGTGACCAGAGGGCGAGACATCTGAACAATAGTGACAAGCTCTTGCACACTGACAGATGACTGGGGGGGGAGGGGGGGAAAACAGACAATACAAAACAAAAACATGCTGTACCAGAAACAATAGCACATTACTTTAATGTTGCTCCACAGTGTCTGTGCAGGTTGGGTGCTTCAGCAGGGATGTGTGTCACTTTTAGCTCAAGCTGATTCAATCAGCTACTAGATAAAAGCACCAAAACAGCCCCACTAAAGCACCCGATTTCTGAAGATACTGGGAAAGCCAGGTACGATTAATACATTGCTTCTTGTGGGCATGTGCTGGGCTCAGCACAGGAAAAAAAGTTTAAAGTAAAAGGTCATTTTTGTTTCTTCTCTCCCCCTACTGCCCCCTCCACAAAGTCTGCAAGCAGCACTAGTATCTTCAAGTGACATGATACACCTTTACAGGAGACAACAACAGGCTTAAGTTATTTCCTGGTCACATGCATCCTTCAGGTCTGCTGGATCACAGTTCAGGAGAAAGAAGAAATGGCCCAAGTTAAACTTAACTTCCTCTGCAGCTCCAGAAAAAATTCTCAGTTATTCCACTATGCAGTAACCTCTCAACTTTGGGAAAGAAAACAGACAAAACAGATGGCACTATTTCCTCATTTGACTAAGGAGGAAGCCTATCCTGGCACTACTCCCAAATCATTAAGCATGCCAACTTTTATATTCACCTTGAAATAACTTAAATATATCAACGCAATCTGATAGCACACTGCATTCACATTTTACAACAGGAAAAGCTGAGAAAGGAAAGGGAAGGAATGTACAAAAGGAATACTTATCAGTCTTAGATCAAGAATTCAGCCATCTACAAGGAATGAATGCAGGTTTCATATCCATTTCCTCCCATAACTAAGATGCATAAGAGATCTAAAAGTTTAACTGCTTGCTGTTTACATTAGAAATTCAAGACATGACTATATACTGACTGTAAGATCACAAGAGACTGAGGGAATGGCAGAAAGTACAGTTTGTTCATAGAGAGCTTACTAATCACACCATGTACTATTTATGTAAGGCCCAAAAATTCAGTATGCCAACCAACTAGATCGAGGTGAAGAACCTGCCTTTTCCCCTTTACAGAAAAGCAAAAAGCCTTGAAATATTTTGGTACTGCTATATTTTGCATCCTATGCTTCTCAAAAAAGCTTCTTCTAGAGATCCTTGATACTGATATTTTAAGTATTTTTTCATTCGTTTCATCACATCTCCCAACTATGTACAGTGCCTAATCCAGTTTGATACATACAGCGCATAGGGTTAGCTTTTCCAGCGCATGCTCAAAGTCGCTTGCTTCCCCATACAGTAACTGAGAACTGCAACGAGTTACCCATTTTCTGTTCTGTACCCTCCTCCTCTACAACCAGTTATTCAGGGTTGACCAAGTGAAGCTATGTGCTCTAATGCATTTCATAAACAGCAGAGCCAAAGTTATTAACTTACCATTAATAGTGAATTTGCTGTCCGTGTAAATAACCAGTTTCTTGATGTTTTGACTCTTTGCTTGCTCAATTGCTTTGCAGGCTGCCTTAAGGAAATGTTTCAATGGCATCATAATTCAGAATAACAATGTGAACTTTAAGTACATAGAAGCAGAACAACTACAGTGACATCAGTGTTGAAAACCACTTATCTTCCCTGGCATTAACCAACTAAAAATACTAAGGGAACTATGAAAGAAACATCATAGCAGGTAATCACGGAACAGCCAGGTGTGACTGCGTTGCTCCTAGGTTTGTAACACAACTGATTCCCATATCACATGACAGAAAAAAAAAAAAAAGGTGCAAATTGCCAAATGAAATGTAACTTAGCAACAGGAAAGCCACCAGTACCAAAAAAAGGCCACTAAACAATTCTCTATCATCTGACCATCCCCAAGAGAGGCTCTGGTAGGTACCAATCACTTTCACTGCGCAATGGAAGTCTATTCTTCCTCCCAACCAGCATGCAAGTGAACAAGGCTCTCTCCTTTTAACCCCAGCCTCCAAACATACTAGTTATTGCATATATAGCAATAAACTTGAGGTAGCAAACAAGCTACCTTCCTTCCCCAGTATGGAACTTGCATAGTCCATTACACTACCAGGGAAAGTTACTACTTAAGCCCTCCCAAGTAAAAACTGGCTTAGCTTCTTTAGTGTGAAAGTAAACATTAAAAAAAAAAAAAAAGTAGGTTAAGTGAACATGCTGATAAGCCTGTGTCACTTCAGTTTTAAGTATTGCCTTTCAATGTAAAGCAAAGTTTGTCCTCAAATAGAAGTATTTGCATTACCTTCATTAACTAAATATTCTGTATACTTCCATTACATTCGTTATTGTCTCCTACAAACTCCAAAGGAGTGCCAAGGTTCCACTACATAGAAGTCTTGCTATTGTTTCTCTGAATTCTCTTCTACTTCTGATTTTTGTTCTTGAAACAGACTAAACAGAACTAAGTCTCAAACAGCAGACTAATTAGGCAAGTTGCAGACTACAGCAGCTTTTACTGCCAACTCCTATGCAGACACTATCAACAGCAATGGCAGCTTTTTTCTTGAATTTAAATCAGTGCAGAACTCACCATATGCTAGAGGAGCAATGCCCAGTTCACCTGACCTTTCAGACTGGGTAAGTAGCACAGGCCCGATATGACATATTGAATCATGTAATTTGGCCCACAGTTCTCCTGTGGGCCCAGAAATTTGGCAACAGCCTTAATTACTGTGGCTCCAGGAGCTGTAGCTATTAATGCAGTCATAGCTCTCCCATCACCAAATTTTCGGACCAGCGGAACACCATGGGCTAGATGACACTGCTCTGCAGGCTTGGAGGCCATATCTCAGTCACCCCTGGGATAGAAGATCTCAAAGACAGAAGCAAGGCTCTATTTCTACGCTGTAGGCTTTAAACAGTTAGTAAAGTCATGCAGAGCCAAAACCTTCAGTTATTTTCCATAACCATAGGAGTTTTAGAAAGTCTACAACTTACATATATTTCAGCTCTTTGGTTAGTCTGCCGTCCAGAGAGCCTTTCACTAGCATTTCTGTTTGAAAGTAACGTGAGACAGATTAATGCATGTAATACTAAAATGCATATATAAATACTGCCTTCTTGACAGAAGACACACAAAAGTTATCTTTAATTGGAATCTACTTAAAATTCTTCCTTTTATGGGAGCTCAAGAGCTACAACTTGATATTTGGGCATGTTTGGTCCTGTTACCAATAGGGAAGCATGGCCTACACTGAAAGCAACAGTAGCTTTAATGCACTTTTGCTCCCCTGTGAAAACTCTTGTAGAAAAGCCTGAACGCAATTTCCCTTAGTACATGTCCTTGCATTTGTCCAGGTTGTTATATTCGGTCCAAATTCCTAGCTAATTTCATTATTTCTACTCTCCCCAAAACACATTTAATCTTTCAGTTATACATCTGAATTGTCTCCTTTTGGCTCGCTACTTATTTGATTTTGGTGAGATAATCTGACTGAGCATTCATTTGCCTGAATGTATTAGAAATTATGCACAAGACCAGCATTAAGAAAGGACTGGTTTACAGAGATTTAAAGTCACAACTCAAAACACTTACAAAGGATGATTTGGCCCCCAGTAGACACCTATTCCGGCACATGCCTTTTTACGTCCATTACTTGAGCAGCAGCCATCTGTATAAACAACTGCAAAGTCACCTGCAAGAGTGTTGTCAAGACCGAGAGTTGAAATAGTAAAACAAACAAACAAAATACACCTCAACCCCTGCCCCCCACAAAACACAAAAAAAAAATTGGCAATTTCTAGGATAGTTTTTTATTTGAAAAATTACTCTTCCCCCGCCCCCCAAACTTCTCAAGTATCACTCCAACCTGTACAATGTATGAATGCCGATTCATTGGTAATGATGCAAAACATCAACATTTTAGCCTCAGCTTTTCCTAACAGCCTCAATTACTGCCTAGCTTCCCCATGGGCAACTGGTGCCTCTGGGGGG